CCTCATAGAGATTAGAGCTAGCTAGAAGCAGCCAGCATGCATTTTAAAGAGTAGAAGCAGATCTTAACCCAGAAAATAAGCAATTACTATAGTGTGCACATACATAGTTTAATGTGTTGGGAAGCTTCGTCTTCAGTGTAGCAGTGTGAAAGAGGGTGGGGTCTATAAGAGATGGGGTCTAGGGTAGGAGTTCTTAGGTCGTTGAGGGCATACCCTCAGTAGTTCTCATGGGATCCCAGTTAGCTCCCACTTGCTTTCCAGCTCCCTGTCTCACCATGTGATCTCTCTCTCTCTCTCTCTCTCTCTTGCATGTGCTCCCTCCATGATACCATCTGCCATGATGTGATGCAGTCAGGGAGGCACCCAGAATAGCCAGCACTGTGTTGTTTGAACTGTCAGCCTCCAACACAGTGATCTAAATAAACCTGTTTTGTCTAAAAGTTACTAAGCCTCAGGTATTTTGCTATAGCAACAAATATGGACTAGTACATTTCTTACCTTTTTCTAGGAATTTACAGTGGAGATAATTCTAATGCAGTTAAATCATGCTATATGATGTGATCTACTATAATTATTGGGTAGTTATTATTAATTGCCATTTTAAAAACAAGTTAAAGATGCTTAAACTGGGCCTTATTTGCCCTGAAAATATGAGTCTCTAAATTAAATTATTAGCTTTGAATCTAAGGAGCAATCAATCAGGAGTTGCCATGAAGAATGAAGCTTAGCGTTAACCATGCTCAACATAGGCAGTGTTGTTGTTGTTAACTGAAGACTGTGGGCAAAGCATTTGGTTCTCTGAACTTGAAAGCAGGTCCATCAGCCAAGACAGTTGAAGGGGGACAGTGATGCTAATGACTGGTGACTCCTATATTTGTTTTAACTTCATGGTTATTACCTTCAAAGTGTATGTCTGCTTATTATTTCCTTTTTTAAGATAAAAGGATGAAGTAGACCCTCTTCAGTATCTGGGGACACGCCCATGTCATCTATGTTGTCCTTGCCTCTCAATCTAAACTTCTTCCTTCTCAACAGATCTTGGTTCTGGTGCTGTCTTGGTGGCAGCAGAGTACAGTGGACAAACTTGGCTCAGGAGCAAAATATATCTGAGTTCAAGTCCTTGTTTCCACGATTACTATAGAACCTAGGACATTTTGTTTACCTTGTTAAGTTTTGTAAGGCTTAATGAAATAGCATCTACAGAAAGTCTGTAACATGCTCATCAGGTATTATCATCAGTAATCTAATAGCCATCTCGTTCTCCATGACTCTGTCTCATTGGGTATTAAGGACCGTTCCTTCCTTGAGACCCCCTCTCCTTGTCAGTTATCCATTCGCCAGACATTCTGAGGATCTTCTGGATTCTTGTTCCCTGTTGGTCTTTTTTGTATCTCTTATAAGTATGGTTGCTTTACATAGCATTCTGTTTTTTTTACCACATGGCTCTGGAAGAAGTTCAGGTCCTAGAATGAAAATCCAGTGTCTGCCTCCAAGTTTCTAACAGAGCAAGGGGAGACGATGGTTTTCATCACACACTCATGCTCAGCAGTGTTTACTGAAAAAGGAGGGGGCTCTGTGCTCTTTACAAATTAAGAGACAAGTAAAGTAATGGTCGAGCAAGAACTCTCAGGTGAAGTTTGTGGAGATAAATTTCTGTAAACCCCACCCTTCTGCTGACTTGATAATTATTTGGCAGCCAGAATGAAACGGACCATGAAGGGAATCCACAGAAATTACACGGACTTCAGACTTAGAATAATGATTTGCAACCTTTCTCCCAGGCTGTACCAGCCTGAGAAATGAGGTCATCTTGGCAGCTCCAGCAAAACTGCCACCACAGTTTCTAGTACAGGTCCTGCAGTCATCCACGAGGTCTCACCCATTACTGCTGGTAGTGCAAGGGTATATCCCACACGGCCCAGGAACATCAGGGGTCCCTGAGAGTCACTTCATGGGTCTATCATGCACTGACAGACAGCACATGGAAACCATCAATCTTCTCCACTGTCCTCTGGGCACTGTCACCAATATATCAATGCCCCTTCAGGACAAAGTTCCAGGAATGGCTTTCATGACAAATGAGAGGCTGCCATCACTCTAGGACTTGGAATCAGACATGGCTGTTGAGGTCCATAAGCGGCAGTATCTGTGACCCATGCCTCAAATGTGGCTCCTTCTGTTTGTCAGTAGCCATCCCACACAGATGATGCAGCTCTCAGTCCACTTGTGTACCTGGTCCTAGGGATGACATGTATACCTGATTACCTTATCACAGACCACAGACATCCATGCAAGTCAATGAGCCCCACAATTATGGAAATTATGGACAGCCATGACTCTTAGCTTAAGGTCCTCTTTAAGTCAATTAAGGTAAAACCCTCAATTTTGAGGAGTGCATTTGATTTTTAAATCCCACTGTTTTCTAGATGCATTCAGGGTCTTTCTCAATCCAGTGCAGAGGACACAAGGAGTAACTAATACTAGACCATCTAAGAGCTCAGAGCTATAAGGGAAGCCTCTTTTCCCCATCTTGTTAACAAACATGTGGTCAAAGCTACAGAAATGAGATTACCATGACAGTGTCCCTGCCCTTAGCAATTCCTACCCAATGAAAGGACAGACCACTTTGTCATTGGTTACTGAGGGAAGGACAACATGGCATTGATTTGGAAATCTAAATGAGATAAATGAATCAAAGAAGATGTCAAAAGTAATAAATGTTTCGGAGATGTATCTTGAAAATAAGAGAAGTCAGTTAGATAACAAAAGATGAAATGGGAAGGAATTTATGTGAAAAAAGCTAAGTCAATCAAAGGTTTGAGAAGTCATAGGTAATTCCACTATTTCCTAGGAAAGGGAGTTATTATTTATCAAATGAAAGATTTCTGTTCCTAACAGAAGGGTAGAATGATGAGGAGGCAGCATCTTTAAAATTTCATTCCAAAAAAAAAAAAAACCCTTATTCCAGATGTGGTGATTGACACCTGTAGTTCCAGCTACTTGGGAGACTGGGTGCAGTAGGATCACTTGAGCCTAGGAGTGGGAAGCCAGCCTGGTCAATGTGGCCAAACCTTGCCTCAAAAGAAAAAATGGGAGGGACACTGTGAGTGTAGCTCAGTGGTGAGTATGTGTTTCACACGTACAAGACCCTGGGTTTAATCCCTAGCACCACATTTTTTTTTTTCATTTAGAGGGCATTTTTAACCTAATACTATTGCTAACTAGAGCTAAGCACTTATTAAAACTTATTAGCATTTAATTCCTAAAAAACTAAAACCTAACAATGGATGATTTCTTGTTGTAAACTGTGATATGCTGGCTTACCAAGACTGGTACTGCCAGGAGACCTTGGAAGTTTTATTTCCTCAGAAAATCTTTTCCCAGCCTTGTACTAGTCCATATGCCCTTCCGTACACACTCACCAGTGTCCTGTACGTTTGTCACATTGTGTTAAAAGTGTGTGTGTGTGTGTGTGTGTGTGTGTGTGTGTCCTCTGTCACCTAACTCAAGACCCAGAAGAACAGACGACCTAATCCAGGTTTTCCCTATGCCATATCAGTTTCTAGCCCAATATCTTCAGAGTAGATGTGTGATAATGAAGCGTTGATACTGCTGCTGTGTTACTGTGTGCTCTGCTTGCTGCTTTTGTGACTTTGGGTACTAGAATTTTGTCTCAAGAAATCAGGAATTGTGTTTGATAAGAAAAAACCATAGCCAGTTGGATTAGCCAGTCTGGCCAAATGAGAGGCTGAGAGTCACTAGAGCAAGCCTGAGAGCTGATGCCAAATAAGAGGCTGACAGAGGACAGGAGGTTCCAACTGATGTCTGGGACAGAAAGAGTAGTAAGTTATTTCCAAAGGACATTAACTTGGAAGTTATGTCCAAGCACGCAGGACCAGATACATAAATGGCAGAGCCCAGTGCAAAATGAAAAACGGACTCAGTCCTTGTTGATATTTTGTTAAAGAATTTCAAGATGGCAGTATCAGAGCACTGTGACCAACTGCAAACCTTGTCTGACTACACCCACGAATCCACTCTTGCAAATATCTACAGGTGATGAAAGTCCAGTTTGTAATTTTCTATCAGAAAATCAAGGAGAGAGATCTATCTGGATGAATGGGGGGAAGGCTTTGAAATTTCTGGGTGTATTCCTTTCCCTGCACTCGGGTTGTGTGTTCAAAGGCAGCTGGACCCTTCTGAACCTTTATCCAACATGCTCTCTCTGTTTCAGGAAAATGTAAGGTTTGCTTCTCTGCACACAGTCCCAAACTTGCCTACTGTCACGTGGGTAGCTCTTCTGCTACCAAGACCTGGCTTAGATTTGAACCTTCCAAGTCCAAAAAGCATGGAATTTTCAATCCAAAGTCGGTCCAAACCCCAGTTCTGCATTTATGATTTTGTGACTTAAAGCAAATTACAAGACCTCAGTTTCTTTATCTATAAAATGGAAGTGACAGTGTCTGGTCCCAGAGTGACTATGAGGATTAAAGGAGGTAAGAAGTGTGAAGTGATTCCCAGGACAAATTGAGGAGCAGTAGTCATCCATTCCCTACATTTACCTACCCGCCTTACCTCAAAATTGCATAGGCGTGCTCTCAATGCCCACGAGACAGGGAACTCCTTCTCTGATCCCTGCTGTCTGACACTGAACCCTATAAACAGCTTAGCTAAGTCGCTGCATCTCTCAGAGTCACTATTTCTTGGGGTGAGGAATTGAGGGAGTTGTTGCAAGTAGATCCTCTTTGCCTTATGGTATCATTCACCGGTTTTCTCTTCGTTGGGGTTCCCCACCTAAAGCATCACTCCGGACCCGCGCTGCTGCGCGCGCGACTCCACGAGCCGCTAGGGTGGGCGCTGCCCCTGCCCCCGCCCCCGCCCTCGCTCCCCGCGTGGCCGCGCAGCCCCGCCCAGCCGCCGCCCGCCCGCCTCTCTCCTCCAAGGGCCAGCCAGGGCCGCCCGCCCTGCGGTGGGGGTTGACAGTCACGCCGCGCGATCGCCCGCGAGGTGGCCGCGGGCGGGGCGGAGCGGGCGCTGTCCCCGCCCGCGGAGGCTCCGGGGAGGTGGGCAGGGCCCGGCCGGGCGAGGCCGAGGGGAGCATGCTGGCGCCGGGCAGGATGGTAGTCCTCAGAACCCAGAGCTGAGCGCGTGCGGGGCGCGGAGGAAGGCGAACCCGCTGTTCCTCCGGGGGCCCAACACCGTTCCGTGCGGCCACGATGATTCCTCCGAACGGCGCCCGCGAGGACGGCGTAGACGGGCTGCCCCGGGAGGCGGCGAGCGCCCAGCAGCCGCCCTCTCCTGCGTCCACCAGCAGCCTGGAGTCCAAGGTACCGCGCGCTCGCCCCAGGGACCACGAACTCACTCTCCTCCCTTTTTGCCACCTCTCCTCCTGAGACTTGGCGCTGTCGCCGGGAGCTGAGAAGTGTCCCTAGTTAGCCAGGGCTCGAGGACTGGTCCTCCCCTGAGACTTGAACGTCCAGCAGGACCCGCTGCTGACGCTGCTGGACCGCGTCCCTGTGGAACCAGCCGTCTTGCAGGCACAGACCAAGCTTTGCGCTGGGCTTTTGCCCTGGCAGCGCAAGCAGCTCACCTTGCCTCCCAGTTAGGGGTGGATTTCTTGGGGCGGGAGAAGGGGGTTTGGTTGTTGTTGTGCTTGGAACCTGCTTGTTCACTGAGCGCTGGTAGTATAGATGACTGCTGAAGGGTGAAGGATGGAGACTGCCTAGGCATACTCCCAGCAAAGCCTGGGCCCTGTACCAGCAACGGGTGTCTTATCCCGAGAGTCTCCTTTTGCTTAACAGGTTTCGTCCCTAACGTCAGGCATCAATCGTTAAAATATATGTACGTACATACTAGGCAAAGACACACTGTGTTCGCGGGAAAGTTGGTGTTTCTCTTGTGGAAGTTAATACTCAACAACTTACACTTGTTTTTAGAAGAGTCACAGTAACACTACACAAAACCAAACCCGCACCACGTCTCCTGTCACTATTACACTTCCTCTGAAACTCGCGTGGGTGCCAAACACATGTTTGGAAATGTTGGCAGAAGAGCAAGTAAAATGTGACTGTTAGCAGTGCACGGTGCCAAATGGCAACTCATCTGGGAGTGAGAATTGCAACATGGAGTTGTAGTCATATGGATTCTTTTAAGTGCAGGGCTCCTGGCTCTTTGCACGGATTGCTTTGTTAGTACCCCAGGCAGTTTTGGAATGGGAGTGGTCCCAGTGTAGTGGCAAAGGAAAAGGGGATGCTGATTTAGTTGGGATGGAGGAAGGAAAAGTGCAACCCCATCTCCCTGCAGGCACAACCCTGGAAGCCACGGGCAAAGTGGGCAGCATCGGAATCACAGCCTGAATGGCTCTGGGACTTGGTGTGATGCAGAACTCTGGACATCTCACAGCCTCCCAAAGTTAGCCATTGAAGATGGTAATCTAAGGCAGAAAGCTTTGCACTTTTTTTCTTGGTAATTACTAGCGATCTGATCTACGTATATGTGTCAACTTTTCTAAAATTCAGTTGGAATTGAGAGCAAAAGCTTGCACCTTCCGGGATCATTGTGAGGAATAGGTGAGATCCGCAAGTTTCCCTCCTGGTGTGTGTTTGGAGTCTGCCTCCCCTCTTCTTTCTGAGATAAGAAATGGAATCCCACCCCACCCCCATAGTAGTGTCACAGTCTATGTGCTGCCTCTCTGCCACCTGGATCTCCAGGGTTCTTCTGTCCACCACTGACTATCAGTTCTAGAAGTGACATGGGTTAGTGATGATCTAAAATTCTGTAAATGAGTATAGTTCAAGGCAAGAGTGAGATTGGAGTTTAACTTTCTGAGTTGGCCTGCTGCTCTGCAGTAGGTGTGTTCAGGAAAGGCCTTAGCATTTGGGTAAACAGCAGCATGGTTCGAGCACACACTGTATGAGTTTTCTATTTATAGATGTCCTAATGTAAATTATTTGGCAAAGAAGAAACCTCCTATGCAATGCCCATAATTATCCACCAATTTATCTGGCTTATGGTTTCAGATTTCTATGAGTCAGTGTTTCTGAAAGTGGTCTACACACCTGATGTGTGTTTACACATTCTTCCTTTTGCTGTCATGGCTTAGTCATCATCAGTGGAGGTGAGCTACGGAACCATGAACCCCAGGAAATTGAATACTGAATAGTAAGCCCAATGTTTTCTTGACATTGCATTCATGATTGTTTCAAAGGGTTCTGTGCTCCTCAAAAGAGTCTGAACTGCTGGAGTTGAGGAGTGTATGGTGTGGGGCTGATGGCCTGGAACAGGAGCAGGGAAATGCTGTATTCCTTTTGAACCAGGAACTTACACTGTAAAGCTCGTTGGCATTTATGAGGCTCTGTGCCCTGAAGAGGAGAACCTGGTGGGAAAATGTGAGCCAGGCGGTGGGAATCAGTCCACCTGACTGTCCTGTGAGGTGGGCTTGCTCATCAAAGTATGTGTATTTGAAAATAAGCAAGAGCACATTTTAAATGTGTCATCACAAAAATGTCAAGAAAGTGAGGCGACAAATATATTAATTAGCTTAATTTAATCATTCCACATTGGATACATATATCAAAACATCACATTGTACTCCATAAATGTAACACAATGGTGATATTTCACGTTAAAAATATAAATAATTTTTAAAAAAATACCTCATAGAATACACATGGTTCAGGCCCTGCTCTGAGCATTAAACTTTCTCAAGAAAGATTTTAAAAACTACTTAAAATTTTTTCTTCTGTGATTATAAGAGTAATGATACTAGAGGTCCAGACAATAATAAAGAAAAACTTTACCCATTGACTTAAAAATCCAGAAGCAAGTACTGGCAGCATTTTGATTTCTGTCTTATGTCTTTTTCATCTTTTTACATTTATACAGTGGAGTGAACTACCGTGAGCATCTACTAACTTCTTATTGTATGTCAGACACAGATCATAGCTAGTCCAGAGACACAGGCAAGAGCAGGACCCAGTCAACAGGGCTCTGGAACCCAAGCACTTAAATTCTTGACTCTCTGTCGCTCCTGTGCTACCTTACAGTGGCCCTTTCACCTGATGTCCTAAGGATTTTACACACCACCCAGTTATTTGCAACATTGGTGTGTCTTCTTAAGAAACCTGAAGAAATAAATCTAGCCACATTATTGTGTAAGACAATTAATAACCAACTTTTGGTCCAGCTTCTTGGCCTTAGCTTTTGCTGCTCTTTCCCCCAAAGGTATATTTATGGAAGTAATTAAATGTAGTAACCCAGAATCATCTGGAAAACGGGGTCACAATCTATGATATGTCATGAGATACATAAAAGGCATATAAAATGTCTGAGTACATAAAATACATAAGGTATCTCCAGACCTAACCTGAGTGTATAAAATGTCTCCCGAAGCCCCTTTTCTTTGCAGATTCTTTGAAAAGCTAAATTATTAGAGATCATTTATTTCAGGTATTTTCTAAATTGCAGATCGTTTTATTGTGCAAATTTATTTTACTATGGAAATTTTCAATATACACAAAAGGAGAAAACACAGTGTAAAGAACCTTCATAGACCTAACCACCCAACTTTTTTATTGACTCATAGACAGTATTTTTTTACATATTATACCACCACCACTCCCTCTACCCCCACACTAGATCATTTTAAAGAAAATTCTAGTCCTCAGTCCATTTTGTCAGCAAATATTTCAGTTGCATTTCTAAAAGATAATGACGTTTTTGGTAAACTGACTATAATCCTATTCATACATATTCCAGGTATTTTTGATCAAGGGTCAACATATTCTTTGAAGGAAAATTTGTGAGTAAACAGCATCAGCATTCAAAGTTGTGCATGTATGGCACTTTCTAGGGAAAGGACTTACAGCTTATATCAGATCCATAAAGGGTATGTAGCCTTCAGTAGTTATTTTTGTATTCTCTCTCTCTCTCTCTTTCTCTCTCTCTCTCTCTCTCTCTCTGTCTGTCTCACACACACACACACACACACACACACACACACACACACTTTCATGGGGTCCCAAAGGACAGTGACTTGTCTGAGGTGACACAAATAGTTACTAGCAATACTCCTGGCCAAGAACAACTTTCTTGGACTTTGAATATCCCAGTATAATTTCCTCACAGCAAATTCTTATAAGCACATGTAGTAATCTCATGTAATCTAATTGTGTTTTTCCCTTTCATTGGTTGAGTTGAAAAAGTTCAAAAGCCACTAATGTAGTCCACTCCTTTCTGTTTCTATTAACTATTCCAGAAAGACCATGGCCTAATTTATGTTCTGAGTGCTAGACAGAGATCATTCAACCAAAGAAAAATGTCATGTTCCACTCTCTCTTGTCTCAGTGTCTTTTCTCCTACTGAATTATTACCAGCATAGAAAGCTTGTGAAGGTTCGATGTGGATGCCCTTTGCCATCACTTATATGACCTAAGGTCATATTCTGATGATGTGGAATGATCATAACCTTTGAGGTCAGATAGATAAGAGTCCAAACATCATCTCACCAGTTGCCATTGTTGTGATCATAGACAAGCTGCTTAATGTCTTCAGGCCTCAGCTTCTTTCTCTGTAGAGTTTGAATGCCAATACCCACCTGCCATGCATTTTTGTAAGGCCTAAGAAAGTATAAAACACTTTAGAGCACATATAAGCATAAAGCACTGTTTATTTTCTCTTCTTGTTTCAAATTGGAGGACTTCTACCACCAGCCAACTTCAAATGTAATCATTGGAATAATTTCAGTAACCATGTCTGACATTCCAATAGCATAACTGAGTTTTTCTCTTTTGTTTTATTTTTGGCAGCACTGGGGCACTGGGATTTGAATTCAGGGTCTTGCATTTGCTAGGCAAGCACCCTGCCATTTGAGCCACATTTCCAGCCCCTTTTTTGCTTCTAGTTATTTTTCAGGTACGGTTTCCTGTGCTTTGTCCAGGGCTGACCTCAGACTATGATCCTGTTGCACGTGTCTCCTGAGTAGGGAGACACAGGTTACTCCACCATGCCCAGCTTATTTTTCAGACAGGGTCTCACTGACTTTTGACTGTCCTGAAACTTCGATTCTCCCATCTATGCCCCCCAAATTGCTAGAATTATAGGTATGAGCCACAACACTTAGCTCTTTAGACTTAGTTATGCTCTTGACTGCAGTGAGATTTTACCTCAGCTATTTTATATCCCCAAGACCCGCCCCCAACATGTGTCTTAGATTTTGAAAGTATACTATAAGCCACCTACTGTTCCAGTGGAACTGTAAGTGAAGGTATTCCCATTCCTGTCTGGTCCTTTTGAACCTAGCCCACCATCCAACCTAGGGGAAAGAAGT